GGTGAAGCCGGAAACCAAACGTCATTCCTGGTGTCATATTCATGATAGTTGATATATTTCTTTGCATATATTGAACCATCACTATTTCTGGTATTGCTGATTCTCTCAAAATATACAATTAGGCAATGAAAATTTAATAAATATCTAAGTATGTAAAAAGAATACATTAAACAAATTTTAACTAGAGCTCTGCTTAGTACAACTAGAGCTCTGACAAATGAAATACATAAAGCCTAAGCCTGTGAATTTGAAAAATTATAAATCAAGGATCATGTGAGAGATAAAGAGATATAAGGTAATAACTTACCTTGTATTTTTTAATTTGTTTAAAAAGTCTTTCTTTTTGAATAATTCTAAGTAACATGTTTTCTCACTAGAATACTGCTATACATTAACCCACAATTCATTATTACATTAAGGGAAAGCATGAATATTTCTTCATTCATATTAACATCTGGACATGTATTTATTTAACAACCTGAGGATATTAACATTAACAACAAAAACCATATCTAAATGCAGCTGCCTTCACACATATGCAGATAGATGACATCATCCAATAGCTAGCTGACATACAGATTATTTTTATTATTGAGCAACAATAATTAATAGAAGCACTATATACAAAATATAATTTTAAGAGCAAGTATGCACATGTTTCTAGAAGGTTATTTTATAAAATATGTTATATATTTACTTTCTTAAGAGAAAACTCTTGTATCATTTCTTTGCTGGTTACTACACTTTTTAGTTATTCTTCATTGTGTACTAAATAACATAAAGATGCTTGCCTGGTAGCAAAATCTTCCTTGATCTTACCTTGATTTACTTTTATAATATTTTCCTCCACTATTTTAGTTTATCCCATTTTGTATCTAAACCAAATTTGTTCTGGTTCTTCATGTACGTTCTGAATCATTACACCTATTGTCTCCCTCACCCCCCAGCCTCCAGCTCTTAGAATATTTCCTGAACTGATTTTTTCATGTCTGAATCTACCTATCATTTCAAAGATAGTATTAACTCTAACTCTTCAAATGAAGCCTGTCTTCAATTTCCCACTAAAAACAAAATACAGAGGAGACTCAAATTGTTTGGCATTTATCTATAGTTTTCCTATACTTTTCTAAAGACTTTTTCAAATTTATCTTGCATTTTAGTTAATCACTAATTGTTAAACGTGTGTTTATTAAACCCTGGGCAAGCAGGGTGTTAGTGGCATACCTGGAGTAGATGTCAAGTTAAAGGAAAAAAGGAGTAGATTTTCTGATGAGTATTAAAAACTATTAGAAATTCAACTAGCTGCTATTTTGCTTTTTATTATCACCATGTGTCGGCAATTCTAAACAGTAGCGGTGCCAAAATACAGCTGCCAGAAATCTTCTGTTTGCCCAGGTTCTAAGTAATTGTTGTGGTTACCATGTGTTTCTATTATGTATATATACACATATATGTATAGTCAGCCTCCAACACACATGAACTCAGTTCCATACATGTTCTAAAAGTAAGTTCATGATGACTTAGAATCATTTAAAATTTAAAACAGTGAGACATAGTGCAAACCGTAAGGTGTGATATCTTGTTTGTTAAGTGCACATTTTAGTTCATAAGTGAAATACTTTATTTAATTTAGATGTCTTTAAACTTCAAAATTATTCTTTTAAAATTATTTGTTTTAAACTTAAAGAACAATTAAATAAAGTAATTATTAGTAACTATAATTATTAAGTAATAATTAAATAGATCTATTACTGAAAATAATTCCGTTGTTTAGCACATGTTTAGCCTTAAAATATGATGAACTGTGGGTGTCACGGCATACCCTTACTATCAGGTACTGAAGCTATAAAGACTGCTAGGGTCTCTGGCCTTAAGGGCCTTCATGGCCTTCTTAGCTCTGCCTCTATTCTAAGAGTTTTCCGAAATTTGCTCTGTTACTATCATTATATTTTCTTAAAAATTGGATGTCCATAATACCCATGTTAATACAAAAAAGGATCTTTTTCCTCTCCTCTCTTTCTTTAAGAATAGCAACGATTTATGTGACTTTCAGTTCTCCTATTTGAAGTAGTCATTTAGATGATTTTTTCTAATTTAATTTAATTTTCAGAGATAAAAGAAGGCCTGGGAAAGCAGTTCCTAAATATTCAGACTTGGAATTTGACAGTGAACTTTTTATTAAATTTACAGAACAAAAATTAAATGAAAGATAAAACTTTTTATAGAGTTTATATTTAAAACTAAATGTATTAATAGAAATAGTGGCCCCAAATTAATTTTTAAATAGTCTAATTTTATTTATCATAAGCATCGCAGATCTAGTTGATTCAAACAAAAAATCATATTAATTTAATGTTTACAGGGATATATTAAATTAAAAATAAAGAATATGTCTTTTCTGATAAATTGTATAATAGTGTAATCATGTTAGTTGAATGACAGAAGAAACTGTAAAAATTAGTAAAAGGCAGGCAAGATTCAATAATGAAAAGTGACAAATGCAGGCTTATAATTCCGAATGCAGTTTTTCAGTAACTAGCAAATAGAGATAGGGGACTATTAAAATAGTCAATGTAAGGAAATAGAAGAAAACAACAGAAAAATGAAAAATAAGAGATCTCTAACAGAAGATTCAAGAAGTAAAAAGGGATCAAACTTGAACTAGGAATGCTAAATGAAGCCTACAAGGAAGCACATTATCAGACCCGGAGAAAATGAACGGAAGGTAGAAACAGTCTACTGAAAATCTGTAGAGAAGAGACAGAAGGATGACTGACACCTCCAAAGAAGATTCCTGTGAGAAAGAACCTGCGATTCTAGAAAGGGAAGTGAAAGCTGCCCTGAAAATATTGGGAAGAAATAAATCCACCAGGGTTAGGTGGGATGTGATAGAATTATTTCAAGCCACACAAACTGAATTTGTTAAAATCCTAACAAAACAATGTCAAGAAATATGGAAAACAAAGCAATGATCTACAGACTAGAAAGGTTCAATATACATGCAATCTTCAAGAAAAGAGATGCCAAGGAGTGCAGTAACTATTGGACCATTGCTCTAACTTCCACAGAAGTAAAGTGATGCTTAAGGTGGTGCAACAAAGGCTTCTGCCTTCTAGGAAATGCCGGATGTTCAAGCTGGATTCAGAAAAGGACGGGGCACTCGAATTGCACGCATTTTTTTCGATGCTGGTGGGCTCCAATGGATTTCAGAAGGTTAGTCAGTCTATGTTGTATAGGCTACAGTAAAGCCTTTGTCTGCATCAATCATGAAAAGCTCTGGGTTGCTCTAAAAGGAATGGACGTGTCTCAGCTTTTGATCCTCCTGACGTGTAAGCTGTATTGTGGACAGCAAGCCACTGTCAGGACAGAATAAGGAAAGACTGAACAGTTTCCTATGGGCAAAGGTGTCAGATAAGGATACATTTTATCTCTGTATTTGTTTAATCTGTATGGAGAATATATAAGAAAAACTGGGCTATACTCAGAGGAAGAAGGAGTGAAAATTGGAAAAAATACCAATAATTACAGATATGCAGAGCACACCATCTTACTGGACTGAAAAGTTGGAATGATTTCAAATGACTTCTGACGAAAGTGAAAGGAGAAAGTGCCAAAGCAGGACCATATTTGAACATCAAGAAAACAAAAATCCAACTAGAGAAGAAACACACAATGTCAACATAGGCAATGAAGAAACTGAAGTTGTTAAAGGTTTGCTTACCTTGGTCAGTCATCAATTTAAATGGAGACTGTAACCAAGAAATCAAGAGAAGCCTGAGACTTGGAAGGACAGCAATAGAGGAATTAGGAAAGATTAAGAAAAAAATGTGTCAATAGAGACCAAGGCTAAGATCATCCACACCCTTGTTTTTCCAGTTACTATGTACGGATGCAAAAGTTGGATGAAGAAGGCTAATAGGAAAAAAACAATGCATTTGAAATATGGTTGATGCAGAGTTCTGTGGACAGCTGGAACTGCCAGACAAATATGTGGGTCCTAGAGAAAGTTAAGTCTGAAACATCACTGGAAGCAAAACCAGCAACATTGAAATTGTCCTACTTTGGGTTCATCATGAGAAGGCGGGGTTGTTTGGTGAAGACAGTGATACTGGGGAAATAGACGGCAGCAGCAAAAGAGGAAGACCAAATGTGAGATGGATTGACTTCATAAAAGAAACCATAGTCTGCAGGAGCTAAGCAGGACTGCAGAGGGCAGGGCTTTGTGGTAAATGCTCATTCATAGGGTCTCCAGGAGTTGGAGTCAACTCAATGGCATGTGGCATTCATAATAACCCTGTTCATTCAGTTTAATTGATTAAAATGCTTATGTTTTGCTAATTATCTAAAGAAACTTTTAATGAAATATTTCAGAGTAAAATAAAATATGGAAAAACAAGATTGCTTTTGTATGTATGTTACAATATGTATATACATTTATGTTGCCTTGGAGTTTAGTTAGTAGGGCACTAAATTTGGGAAACTTTTTATATTTCTAAGGATGTAAACAGTCTCCAAATCATATACAAAATATACAAGTCAGTGCTAGCATTTATACAAGTTCAATATGCTAACCATTTCACATATATCTTTCATTTAGTCATCAAAATAATCACATTTCAAAGCATTAGTCATATTTTATCTATGAGAAAACAGAATTGGAGGAGTACATAGCTTTTTATAGGCCATTGAGCAAAAATTGGCTGAGATAGGAGTTGATTCCAAGCTGCCTTATTTACTACTTGTAGCTTTACATGCAGATACTTATTCAGTAGAGACATGCCACTTACATTGCATTCCTTTAGCCATAAGAAAAACATTTAATGTTGAGGGACAAAACCGTCTTTCTTTCATTTTAAAGTTCAAAGACTAAAATATGTAGGCTCTCTGTCTTTGTAAGCAATGATATTTGTAAGACACTGCCGGTAATCACCACCAATTTCATTTGGTGATAGATCCTGAAGGTAAATCTATATCTTTATTTCCTTTTTTTCTTCCCCCAGAATGATGTAGGAGGACAACGCAGCCTGATAAACAAATGGACGACTTTTCTTAAGGCCAGACTGATTTGCTCAATTCCTGGAAGCGATGGGGCAGATACTCATTTCGATGAGCTTCGTAAGTCATATGTTTTATTTTTCTTAAAAAAGAAGTCTTAGTGCCTTATTACAGTATTTTTTTAATTTTGGCCCCCAATGCTCGCTTATGTAGCCTAATAAAACTTACAGGAGTGGTTCTCACTACAGTTGCACACACAAAGAACACAGAGGTGCTCTAGGTCTGGGTGCCCACTGGATGAAGCAACTGTTCTTTGTCAGCACCCTCAAAGTTAAGAGGGAAACAAAACTACAGCAAGAGACTGAAAAATAGGAGCTCTGAGACTACAATGCCATCCCTTCTCCATGTAGTCTTTTACTTTGAAGGGAGCTCTATGTGTGGGTAGCAGGACCTTGGGTTCCTTATTCTGTGGATGCCCCCTGCTGGAGAGCTCGGGAGATCTGGTGAAGTCTGTCCCTCCAACTTGTTAATAAAAATACATACTCAGAGAGTCATAATATAATTTCTTTCCTTCATTCTCCCTCTTTATTCTTCTCAAGGCTAATTCTAGAGGGAACTTTTTCAGTTTCATATATCTTCTTGAATTTGTCTTTGTGGGCAATGTAAAAATGATTGTATCATTGATAATATTGTCAGTATTGTATTTTATAGTATTAATATCTATTCAGTATACATGGATGAATATAAGCATGCTCACATCTTAAATGATCTTTTAAAAATATCATTTACACACATTTTAGTGTCAATGCTGTACAAGAAATCACACAAGTAGTGGTGCACAAGTACTTGTATAGCTATTTTCATACTTTTACCAAAAAGGTAACTGAATTTACTAATAAATTGACAGAATTGCAGGACAACACTGTTTTATGCTGGTGGATAAAAATCACCTATATTTTTAATTCCTATTCTATGTGAAATCACATACTCCTAATTGGAAATAGTCATGGAGGTAATCAAGCAAACCGTTCCATTTATAGGTGATTGAAGTAAACATCTAAGAGGTTAAATGTCCAACTCCATGTCACATAACTAGTAAGAAAATCAGTCTTTTACCCTTAATTTATTTTTGTAGTGATGTAATAGCTTTCACTGTTATTTTCATTTTTTGTATACTGTTTAGAGTCTCAGAAATATTGGATTATTAAAGGAAAAAAGCAAACATGTAAACTCAAAAAAATAAAACTATAATGAATCATTATTTTTCCCATTAACAGAAGATATTTACTTACTCCCCACAAGAGATGAAAGAAATCCTGTCGTATATGGAGTCTTTACCACAACCAGGTAAGTTAAAAAATACTTATAATTCTTTTAGAGAATTGTTTTATATAAGTAAGAAAATACTGTATATGTTCTTTTGTCCCTTCCTTTTATGTGAAAAAAAATACATGATTTTTATTTTTCACCTAGTGTTTCCTAGAAATCTTTTAATATCAATGTGTATCATGTCTCTTTGTTCTTTTTATACCAGCAGATTATCCCCTATGCCATTTGCCACAAATTATTTAAACAGTCCCCTGTACAAAGACATTTCCATCATTTCCAGTTCTTTGCTGGTACACACAATGCCTCGGCGACTGACCTTATATACACATGCTACTTACTGCATGAGCAGGTACAGCCGTGTAGTTATTATAGTTAAGTCTCAGACTAAAATTACTGGGTACAAAGGCATATGCATATACTAATCATAATAAGTATATCAAGTTGCATGACATGGAGGTAGTACTAAAGAAATGCATGCCTGTGTCTTTGGCTAAACTGTAATCAGGAGATGGGACACTCTTGACTCAAAATGTCATCACATGCTATTTTATTTGTGCCTCCTCATTATCTTATGAAGATGGGAGTTTGGCTACTCTTATTACTGTATCACCACTGCTCTACTAATATAGGCAAAGGAAGTTTGTATACTTGCCCTAGAAAGAGAAACCAGTTAGTAAAACTGGAACTAGAACTAAATGTGCTTTCTTAATTTTTATCCCTGTATCCTCTCCTTCTTTCTGCATAATACTGTTCTATACTTGTCATTGAATCTCTTGTGACTTCCCTGAAAGTGCTCCTTGCATTTATGGAGCTTTCTTAAAGAATATATGGATCTGACTTAATTGTACCTAACATTAATTTTACTTAATTCAGTAACTTACATTGGACCATGCCCAAAGTGCACCTTTATTCCTGTTACATATTATTGCCTATAGTACATCTTTTTAAATACTTTGCACTTTTTTCACAGCTCTCTTATCAATCTTTATCAATGTATATTAATATTAGTATTAGAAATATTTGCAGTGTTGCTGTTGGTATTAGAGAAATGGCTTTACTTCCTCCTTTTGATTAAATTATTAAGTACTTTTTAGAAGCAAATTATAATTTCATTTCTGTGACATTACCCTCACTTATATATATACATTATACTTACATGCAAACTCGAATGTACTATTGGTTTAGAATATATCATGAAACAAAATGCTAGTTGGTTCATTATAAGAGAGAACATGAGAACATTTAAATATGAAAATAAAGAAGATAACCTAAGCCACTGCTACTTTGGCTCCATTTTTTTCTGCTAATTCATGTCTGAACTAAACATCTACAAGGTGCAGGAAGAGCAAGTGCCTGTGGTTACTCAAGTTAAGTATCTCAGCCCTACTCTCCTGGCATCTGTCCATTCACAGAACTTCCTTTGAAGTCACTGTGTGTTCCATGCATGAGGCATAGATACGTGCCAGAGAGATATAGCCCCAAGATAGTTCTTTTTTTTCCTACCATTTTCCTGCCCACACAGAGCGTGAAGTTACAAGTCAGCTCCTTCTTCTTGGTATATTATATTATCTTATTTGTAATGCCACCCTGAACACTGAGGTAATGTTGGGATGTATGTCAGTCTTTGTCTAATGAGAATGTGTAATTATTCTGCAATAATAGCAATGTCATTAAGCATGATGTATCATTCTTTAAAAAATCATAGGCAGGTCATGGGATTTTTATGGGAACATCACCTCCCTTCCTAGCAGCTCATTTTCTCCCAGATGCCTGTTTACTGTCAGCTCCCAATGTTTCCAATGAATGTCATTCCAAGAATATTAATGAGTAACTTACTCCTTCTAGGAGAATCTTTAGCTCATTTGTGTAGCACTAAGATGATATGTCTCCCAGGTCATAAAGGGTGACCTTGTTTTTAAGAACAGAAATTACCAAAAGTTTTAGGCCCAGAGAAAATGTATTTTAATTTCCAGAAATAAAACAAAAATGGAACATCTGATGGCCGTGTTCACAGCTTTCATCATCAGTTGGCAAAGCTTAATCGAATTCCCATGGAGCGTTTCTGCCTCTTAATTATATGGGCGTCAATCCTGTGTAATTAGTATTAATTTTAAACATCAGATAAGTTACATAAGTGTACTCAAATTCAAGAAAGAGCAAAAAGATTTTTTCAACATTTTTAAATTAATAAAAACTTTTTGAGGAAATTAATAGCCAGTATTTATGGTCATTCATCACTTTAAGAAAATGGACACATAATTATTAATTACATGTCTAAGTTATTCCTTTTTTTAAAGAAAAGTAGATGATGTACTTTTTATTTTGTAAGTTCTTTAGAGGCATTATGTTATAATAACTTCAAATAAAATTCAAGAGCCTGTGGGTAAACATCTCTTTTCTACATATTTCTTTTCATCCTCCAGTTTTTCTAGGCAATTCTTATTTATTCATCAGGTGTCAATTTAGACACCACCTAGTTTCTGCAAACTTACCAGACAGCCCCAGTATTGGGTACCCATTAACACACTGTAATTGCCTGTAATGTAACTGTTAATATCCTCTACTCAGGATTACTTGACTATAAGCTCGTTGGCACACACGTACATTTTTTCTGCAGCACCTATTATATTTGTGCTCAGTAAGTGTCCAATAAATGAACCAGTGAAGGACTGAATTATGTTGCTTTCTTCCAGCTCAATCTTCAAAGGCTCTGCTGTCTGTGTGTACAGCATGGCTGACATCAGAGCAGTTTTTAACGGCCCATACGCTCATAAGGAGAGTGCAGACCATCGCTGGGTGCAGTACGATGGAAGGATTCCTTATCCCCGGCCTGGCACTGTATGTATCTGACTTCATAATCAAACAGTTTTCTGAAGTCCATATTCTCTTTCAGAATCTACTGTAATAAACTATGTTCTTCACCACAGCAAAAAGTACTGCATTTTTTAAAACTGTTATTTATTTATGGTGATGTTTTAGCATTTTCATCCTTCACTGGAGCTGAACATTTTTTTTTTAGTATTACAGCAAACAGTGGACTATTGTAAAGTGCAGGCTATGCTAAGAATATAGTTTTTAACCCTCAATAAATCTATAGAATCATCAAAATGATTTAGTATTTAGAATGACAAATATTCTAAATAAGAGGGAAATGCCAAATAAGTATTTATTCCCCACATAGAGCTATTTATATAGCTAGAGTTCCAGCTTCTACTTATATAAGACATTAATTATAAGGATTCGTTTAAATTATCTTCCTTGTTATAAATTTATCTTATTTTTTATTATGCCGCACTTTGGAATAACATGCATATTTTAGATGGGGAAAAGACCTAAATCAAGGGTGCCAACCTGCAGGCATGGACCACATGCAGCCCAGAATGGCTATGAATGTAGCCTAACACAAAATCATAAATTTATTTAAAACATTATGAGTTTTTTTGTGATTATGTGTGATTATGTGCTGCAATGTATTTAATGTATGGCCCAAGACAACTCTTCTTCTTCCAGTGTGGCCCAATGATGCCAAAAGGTTGGACACCCTTGGTAGGTCCTAAAGAATCCTACGTCCAAAATTTCATTTAAATGTAAATCATGATTAAAACACAGATGAAACAAGAAATATATTTTAGAGTTTATGAATCTGTTTTAAAAAAGAACTGCAGTTTAAAAGTCAGTGTGTGTATTTTAAGTGGAAGACTTCCACTTTGTTTTGTCAATGTGATTAAAACAGTTTAAGTTTTTAATAAAGTATTTTAGGATTGGTGATTGAACCAGTATTATATTGTTCAAATTTACTATATATCGAATACTAAATATTATATTAAACTGATATAAAGGAAAATGCCTTTTTTATTTAAGATTCAGTATGAATATTTTTATCAAGAGGTCTGAAATAGTCATCAAAATCTGAGAAAAATTATTGACTTAACCTGTCTAATTCTACAAAACTTTGCCTTTTCATATGTTCATTCCTAAAGGGGAAACAGCTGGTAGCCAGGCTTTCTTAATTCTCTTTTCATCTTCCTGCTATATAACCCAATTAAATTTGGGAAACACACTTTACAACCATGTCTACTTCCTCCATCATGGTCCCTCAATATAAATATGTTCCAGAGATGTTTCTGGACTAATTACAAGGTAATGACAACTTTTGTGGGAATACTTTTTTTTTTTTGCAAATAATGTTACGATATTCATGATTTCCTTTATTTTCTTTGTACATCCAAGCTGTACTTGCTTGTCTTGTTTTTATATTTAACAGTAACATAGAGGGTGGATACTCTTCTATAGGTTTTACAAATCTTAATTTTCATAATGACTCTGAGGTAATTTCCATTATTATTAATGCTGGTTTACAGATGAAGAGTCTCAGGCACAAATAGGTACAGTAACTTGCTCAAGATCACAAAGCTAGTGAATAGTGCAGCTGAGCTGTAAACCCAGATACTGAGGAGGCAGAGTCCAAGCTCATAGTCCTTGGACTAAGATTCTATAGTAAAAACTTTTGATGTTAAAATATATTTATTTTCCCTTTCCATGGAAAGTCTTTTACTAAATATTCATTACACACACACAAACATATATAATGAATGTGTTATATATAATTTTATTATATATAATATACATTGTATATAATAAATATATTAGTACATGTATTTTATATAATAATATATAGTATATTTCTATATTATATAATTTTATATATAATATTATACATTATACATATCTAGCTGGGCAAATTCTATCTTACTAGAAATCTGGGGTTAACTGTTACAGGCTATCACAGTCTGAGCTTTTTCTACATGCCTTTGTTTTAAATAATAAAGACTGTGATCATTTAGGCCATTTAAAAAAGCCTTTTTAATTTATCTGGATGTTGTAGGAGAAATAATCTGGAACTGAAACCATTCACATTAATTTCAGAAAATTATTTGCATATCGATATACAGCAGTTGATTCTTATGATACTAAGAAATTGAAATGATCAAAGTGGTCATCCAGGTTCCATTAGGTTCCAGTCAGTTTGTTGGTTGGAGGTGCAGGCCATCACTTCCCTGCTGCAGCCTGAAAGAGCTGTGAATGCCACATGAAGCAAAAAGACTTCACGTGTCATGTCATTCCCCTCACAGGGCACAGCCACTTCCATGAAATGTGTGTGTGACCTCCCTCCCCATAATAAAACCTACATGTCAGTGAGGAGGGTTTTTCATTAGTGAGAAAAGTGCCACGTTGCGACAAACAGACCAGTCTGTCTGCTGAATACTCGAAATACAGTGTTCACGCTGTAGGTATTTTTGTGAAGAGTTTAGAATTAGTTACAGAATAGGTGGTATACCTCCTACCAAAGAAATACTTAACTTTTTTTTTCTTTTTAACAGTTTCAAAGGATAAAAATATTATCAAGCTTAAGGAAGTTCCATTTTACAGTTATTCCTTTATCCTTTCTCAACATCAATATTTCTCATTGAATTCCCATGCTTTTTAAAATGTGTAAATATATTTGCATCTGAAGCTAAGCTTTTAGAATTATGCCTTCTAAAACATTTTATCTATAGCCCATTCTCAGGCCACTGTGGTAAAGGAGACAGAGACAAAAGCTCCCTCAGAAAATAGCAGGCCAGTGTTTGATTGGGTTGATTATGTCCTTTTTTATTTTCCCTTACCTGAGGGTATGCTTAGAGGGGATGGGGAGGAGAGAGAGGGAGGAAGCATGGATGTGAGAGAGAAACATCTATTGGTTGCCTGTGTGCTCTCTGACAGGGACCAGACCTGCAACCTAGGCATGTGCCCTGACTGGGAATCAAACCCCATGACCTTTCAGTTTACAGACTAATGCTCCAACCAACTGAGCCACACAGGCCAGGACAAATCTGTCCTTTTTTATAGAACTTATATATTAAAAAAATATGCTAGTAACTGTCAGGGGTTATTTATTTTGCTTTATAGTTTTGGTTAAAAGAGCGGAGGGATTTCTTGTTCTGACTAAATTCGGATTATGTCTGTGTTGGTTCTGGATGGGAAGTAACCATATAAGGCAGTTTAAAGAAATTATTTATATAAAAAATACGGAGATATTTTAATATGTATTTTGTACCATTTTTTTCTAACTGGTTCTGTATATGAATAACGATGACCCCTCTTCCTGAAAGGTTTGAGGAAATATCTAGAAAGCTGTAGTATCCAAAGATACCGATTTTTTCTAAGTAACTAATTATTTTTATATTTTCTTTGAAGTCAGTATGACCAAATTTGAAAATTTCTAAAATCATAAATGTGTAAATTTTTGGCTTCATTACTTTAGTTATTAAAAATATTTGCTCTTTATTTGCATACAATTAAAAATGTTTGCTCTTTATTTGCATACAATTATTAGTAGGATTTTCCAAATAATACTTTATACATGGAGAGCTGGTATTAAAGTTAGGAACATCATATATGTGGTGCAAAAACTTGTTACACAAATATTCTTTATATAAACTAACTTTACCATTTTAAATAATTCTGTATTCATAAAATCAGTAAAATTATATTTCCAAGTATACCAATACATTTGTAAAATTTTGAGAATCAAAGAATGGGTAGTAGAGACCACGTAATTCACCCTCAGTTTATCAAGGAAGAAACTGATTTCCAGAATAATTAAATAAGTTTCCTAATATTTTATTGCCAAAGAGCAGAGTGAAGAGGACTGTTGGAGTTTTCTAATCAGTCTTCTGTCCTTCATTCTTTAATATTCTCTAATATTCACCTATTCCCTAAACTCAACGGATCGATATGCCACTGCATGCCCTAACTAAATTAACTGCATTCATTTCTACACAACTTTCTATGTTATCTCTCATGTTTTTAAGCACCTAATTTTGGTAATTTTTGTTCAAGTGAAGGTTTGAATCCTTGTATTTTCTATAAACCTCCTATTCAGAAATTTTCATCAAAACCATTACTGAACACACCTCATGACCCAGATGCAGCAATAAGGACTTATATGTTATTTCAGCACACCTTTTCAACAAAATAATAATGGAGATAACTTAGGCATAAGAAAAAATCCAGTGTGGGTGAACTCATGCTCATGGTCTCATAGCTTATGAAGTTAGGAACTGTGATTAAACTTAGATCTACATAACTACAAATAAACGCTATTAACCTCCACACCATTCTCCTTCAAAGTGATAAAAACAAATAAACAGCAACCCCTTACATTGTCTCTCCGGGGCTGACTTGTTCTCTGTACAAATAAGGATGAGGCTTTGGAGTCTTATAGTATTTATCATTCCTTTTATTGTAATTTGGTGTAATACATCAGACTTTAATAAAATCATTGCTGAATAATTATCTTTCTATGAAATGTCAGAATCTTCCCTGAAATCCACTTCCCACTGAAGTTAAAATTTTTGAATAGATTATTAAAAACCTCTGCTTTTACATTTTCTACATCCAAATTGCTGTTAAAGTCAAGTTTTAGCTTCTGCTGACATTGTCACTCAGGTAAATAAACAATACAACAGTTCACTCTGCAATAGCTACTTTAATTCCTCGGTTTTGACATTATTATGCACTTCCTGTGGCAAGTCAAACCTAAACTCTAGCCTTGCAATGATATCACTACCCTGCAATGTTAATGAATAAGTCTGGACATTTAAATATGCACAGGATACATATACTTACAGAATCCCTTCACTTCAAAGGATTCTTCTGCCCCCTGGTGTCTCACTAGTGTGTCTGAACAAACTGTATTTTGTTCAGATAGACTTTGTAAATCATAAATTAACTGTGGGTCTTGGTGTAAGAGGCTCCAAGTGAAATGAAATACAGAATCATGTGCCATACAGGAG